GTCATATAAAAATAAGGATGTACCTTCTGTCCTGTTTACTTTCAATAATGAATCAACAGTTTAAAGTTTACCAATCAGGTGCCACTTTGGGAGATTTCTGAAAATGCACTTCTGTTGCTGATAAATCGATGCTGCTGGAAAACAAGTGTTGCCAGGGGAACTGGGATAAGCATCAACCAACCGTCGGATGCTAACATGGTCAGGTGAGTGCGGTCATGACCAATGACAGGACAGCACTCTCTGCTGTTACTGCAGTGGCAGGATGCTCCCTGGAACACAGCAAAATAGAGCTCAGTGAACAAGGAAATAGTGAACCCAAATCCACGTAAGCATAAAATCTAAACTTTTATTTCTGTATAAGAGTTTTTCTTACTTGAAGGTCTCAGTTTTAGAGCTCGGCTGAAGTATTTAGGTTGAATTTTACCCTCAGCATCACCTGCAGTCAACAGCACATCATTCTCAGACCAGAAGAACTTGATACCATCTGTAGAGACACATAAAACTAGTAGCATTGGTTCCTACACATATAGAGTAAATGTAGATAATTGGACAGCAGCAATCGGGGTTTAATCTTACCAGCCAGTGCTTTGGGGACATCAATAAACACAGCTAGATCACAATCTTTCCTCATGCCTGGTGGGGAAAAAAATAACGCTGTAGTACAAACCTCCTGACAAGCTACTCTCCATCAAACTCACACGAGCATACCACTGATGATGCCGTCCTCCCCTGGCAAGCCTCGTGCCAGATGGATGTGTGTCCTCTTCATGCGGCTCAGGCCCTGCTGCTGGATGGAGCTCCAGTTTCTGAGGTAGGAGCCATGAACAGCCTCAGCAGGGCAGTCTGGAGAACCAGCCATGACCGGTTTCAGCTCCAGATCCACAACCTGACCGTGGAAACACAGCCAGGATAGCCACAGATTTACAAAGCTGCCTTAAATCTGGTAAAGAAAGGCATTCTGGTTACTATTGCTTTGTTTTAGTAATTAGTCATGGGCAGTTGATTAGTATCGGAGAAAATAGTGAGAGAAATTATTAAACTCAAGCCTAGTGAGAGTTTGACTGATCCCATGCTCAGCTGAAATGTCAGCAACAAATGGCAGTGTCAAAAAATTTAAAAGGAAGATGAATTTATATGCAACATAGCCTCCAAGATATTCCCCATTGTTATTGGGCCTAAACCTAACATCAAATGCAAACGCTCGTGCAGGGTTTTTCCAGCATCAGTGGGGCATTTAGGAAGGCCTGACTACACATATAATCATTATCAGTCTGCACACATTAAAGACAGCTACTCTGTGTATCCGTGTATTTTCCTGTAATTTAAGATTGTTAAAAATGTAATTTTGGGATTAATTCTAAGACACTGATACGCTGATATTCCAAAGACTCTATTTACATTGACTTATTACATTATTTGGGATAAAATGGAGTTTGTTTTACCATGTTGTAGGACTTCTTCCATGACAAGAATGCAAAGAAATAGAGTAACTTCTTCAAAATAGTCTTTGACTCACTAACACTCTCCCACACATACACATCTGCAGTATATAAGGCATAAATTGGGTATTTGACTAAAGCAAAGTCTGCATTTTCTGAGTTGCTTTTTGGTTTTATGTCCCAAAAGTATATAAATCACATTTTCATCATATTTTTCTAATCATTTGCTGATCAGCAAGAACAAACAAACTGCTGAATATTTACTGAATTCAGCATTTAGCTAGGAGATAATGCAATATAGCCAATGTGCTGACAACAGCAAGTATAAGCTTCTCAGAGTTTACAGGTGTTGACATGTCTTACATTTTGTAACTCTCATTACCTGTACTGAATGACCCTGATTGGCCCGAATCTGCAGCCGGCCATCCTCAGGGTGGGTACAGAGCTTAAAGCGCTGCTTGTCATTTGTGGCCACAACTCTCTCAACGTCTTCCAACGAGTACGAGTGGAACTGCGGGTGAGCCAGGAGATCCTCCACAAACAGGAAGCCGTCTATATGTGAAGAGAGCTGTTATGACTATGGTCAAATTTCCCCTGTGGATGTTACAGCCCTGTGAGCAACAAGTTGTTTGTTTGAGGCACTGTTCCAATTTGGCAGCATTTTCTCTACAAATAATTCCAAAAACAGCAAAAGGATGTTAAAAAGTTCAATGTTAAAATTAATAAAAATAAAAATAAATCTAAGGTCTGCATCTGCTATCAATATTATGACAGCATCATTAAATGGGATCTGTCCATAGGTGAAATTTCTTATATGGACATCAGAAATATGTATCAACCACTTTTTTAATTGCTTAAAATTGTTCACACTACTTATTTCATATTGAATGCATAAGTCTTTTTGGTGTAACTGAAGTTTTTTACCCTTCTTGTTGTTTACATCAAGCAATGTGATTGTGATTAAGACAACTCTAGGTATTTCACCAGTGAGTGTTTTCTAAGGATGCATTTCGGCATCACATGTAGACAATGAATCAAATTTATGAATCACAATAATCAGAGGTTCCTCTAGTTAGTTGGTACTAATCTCTGTGCGTCCTCAGACGTTCCCAATGCAAGGTTTGTACATGCCTAAAGGAAAACATTATGCTCCTAGGCTCTGATCCTAGGAGCATAAGAAAGGGCTACAAGCACAAGCTCCATAGAGGCAAAAATCTAGCACAGCTGATAAAGACCAAAGTTGAAGACTGTGCAAAGGTGCTCCAGAGACACTCCAGCACATAGTAGAAAAAGGTAAGATGGTACCTGGGACAATATACACCAAGAGAAACAACCAAGTGGCTGGGATAGTATACAGGAACATCTGTTCCACATATGGACTAGAAATCCCCAAGTCCTCATGGCAAACACTGCTGAAGGTGCTTGAAAATGGCAGGTCTAAGGCCCTGTGGGACTTCAAGTTCCAGACAGACAAGCAGCTGCTGGCCAACCAAACAGACATAGTGTTGGCTGACAAGGAGCAGAACACCGCAGCTGTGATAGATGTGGCAATCCCAGCGGACAGCAATATCAGAAAGAAGGAACACAAGAACAGAAGTACCAACAACAACTGGAGGAGATGCGGAATGTCCAAAGTGATCCCAGCAGTAAAAGAAGCAACAACCCTAAAACTCAACGAGCGGACCAGCAGATTTCAGGCACAACTTTAGTGTAAGTGCTTTTCTGTCTAACATTCACACACATTCATACTCTGATGCATCAGTGGATGAATGTGCCTTAGCAAGATACACATTGGGAACAACCAGGGATCAAACTACCAAACTTCTGATTAACAGATACACTACGTCCTTATACACTAATTACCGGAACTGAGCAATGGCTGTAGCTCAATGTATAATACTGTACCAGCTGACCCTGCTCTGAGTCAGAGCTCCAAATTGTCTTGTTTAAAGCAGCTTCTTAATGTTAAGGAAACCAAATTTATGTTGGTTTACAGAAATCACCCTCAGATCTCAGATAATATTGGTAAGCATATCCAGCAGGAGACTTTGTGAAGAAAGTATTATACTACAAATACCTGGGTGAATGATATCATTTTCCTTAAAGGTCATATTGGGATACTTAGTAAAATGTTTATATTGGGTTTTATTTATTTTAAACTGTCCATCTTAATTTTGCTGTTAGGTAAACATATGTACAGGCTACGTTCTTAAATGTCCTTTATAATGGTGACATTAATTACATGCAGGTTATCTCTATGTATCAGGGTCCTTTATGTTTTCAGTACACATCACTTGTCTTAGCCCTTAATAGTGGTGATTTAGGGCTTTTAATGATTTATTTGAACTGCAGAATGATTATAGTATGATTATACTGCCCACGTGGACAAGCTAAATGACTTCTGGAGAAAAGCTTTATGCTTAAATGAGACAAGGACTGAGCTAACTGACCACAATCACGAGGTATTTCTGGAGGTGTAAGTGTGAGGCTGGTTTTGATGCTCATTATAAGTGTTTGTGAACTTCCTGTGTGTAATTGCAGGTAATAATATGAAAATTTGCAACATTTTCAAATGAAAACTCCTTTAGAGTCCTTGCTAAATTTGCATCCCTACCAGTCTACCCTGCATTATCTGTGCTACCTAGATCTGACTGTAAGCAGCTCACCTGTACCCATTTGCAGACCCATCTGGCTGGCTCCATGGCGAAGTGCATAAGACATGGATTTAGAGAGGCGGACATCTCTGTCCTGGTAGTGGAAAAGGCATCACTTTCAGTAACATACACACACACTGAAATTTAGTTCTAATTATAGCTGTGGTTTAAATATAGGACCTAGACTCTACCATGCCAAAACCCTCATACTGCCTGTCATACAGCTAATACTATTAGATATTAAAAAGACGTGAAATTATCCCAATTGAAATGGTAAATGGCCTGTATTTATATAGCGCTTTACTAGTCCCTAAGGACCCCAAAGCGCTTTACATATCCAGTCATCCACCCATTCACATTCACACACTGGTGATGGCAAGCTACTGAGGCGAGGCTGCCGGACACTGGCGCCACCGGGCCCTCTGACCACCACCAGTAGGCAACGGGTGAAGTGTCTTGCCCAAGGACACAACGACCGAGACTGTCCAAGCCGGGGCTCGAACCGGCAACCTTCCGATTACAAGGCGAACTCCCAACTCTTGAGCCACGATCAAACTCTCACCTCTCCACCACGGTGTCCTCTCCTTCCTCTTCCTCTTTTGCCTCTTCCTCCCCCTCCTTTGGCACTGTCCATGAACGCACAGGCAGCTCAGCTTTTCAGACCTCGTTTTGCAGCTGTTGTATGATAAATTTCACTGGTTTTAATTTTGCGAAACGTTGCATAGGATAATATTTGTTGTCAGTGCATTGCGCATAGCATTTTGGCTTGCTCTCGCTTCCTGTGTGTTCCCGTTCTCCGCTTGCAGGTGGCACTGTGACGGGCAGTGCTCCGGTAATTCGGCACCACAGAGGAAAAGCGTTTTTTTTTTTTTTTTTTTTTTTTTTTTTTTTTTGTCCTGAAGGAAAACATCACTCAGACAGACAGCTGTTGTCTGAGTGGCTGCAGGTAAGAAAATGTTCAGGACACCCACCAAAAACAATGACGCACTCAAGAATAGAAACGATAGTTTCCGTCCGTGGTAAATAAGAACCTATCTGGTAAATAAACAGTAGGGACTGTCCGGATACTCCTGGTACTGGAACTGAACACAGAACCTGAGCTAACTTGGCTAACTAATGCTAGCATCGTTGAGCTTGGGTTACCTGATTTTCTCGCTGGGCAGCAGGAGGGATTTCTGAAAAGTGTACGCTTTCAGTCGTGCTTCTTCTTCTCCTGTTTGTGTGAAACGTCCCATGTTACAGATTGAGCTCGTGGATGAAGAGATCTGCCAGCGGACCGAAGAATTCGAGCAGGTCACCATGGAAACCTAATGTTAGCAACGTTAAAGCTGGACGGCTGTTTAAAGTCTTACCTGCCATTAAACGGCGCCGAAAGACGGAAACACGAAGAGTTTGCCGTGAGTCTTTTATTTTATCTCTCTCTCTCTCTCTCGATATATGGTGATAGCCACTTTAACTTTTTGCTCCAAATAATCAATTTCCAATTTTAAAAATAGCTTCTTTTTTATTTATTGCCGTAGCCATTTATTTACTGGTATAATGATTTAAAAACAACAACAACAACAACAACAAAACTGCATAACTGTATAAATCTTGCACTAGCAATTCTGACCTCGGCATTATCCAGTGTCTGTTCTGGAAAAGTAATGTATCTTGGTGCAAAATTAGATGAGACCTGTCATTATTCAACAGTTATCGTTTATATGGAACAGTGTCAGAAAAGATATAATATATTTTGTTAGTAAGTTTAAGTAATTAGGAAATGTTTGTTGTATTTAGCTGTAGTGTCCCCCTATGATTTCTCTACATATAGTCTTATAAAATATTATTAGATGTTTATCTAAGCATTAACATTAATTTATCTAAAGAGTACATTTAAAAAAAATCACACTGTTACTGTTTCACCCTAGTCACTCAGAGAAAATAAGTTAATTAACTTATTTAGGTTATTGTGCTTTATTTTGTGCATAGGTAACATGTTGTCTTCCTATAAAGCAGACATGTCATAAATGCTTTATTAAACACTGTGATAACTATAATCTGTTTCCAGCTTTGAAGACATTTTAAACATTTTCCAGTGCACAATATTTACCTACAGTTATCCCACAAGAACAGATTCTCTTTTTGTATAATTGTGCTTTGCTTTACTGTATTGTGATTCAGTATAGTTTCATACAGAAATTTTCACTTGTAGGGGTTAAACGCATCTCTCCCTGTCTCTTTTGCTCAGGTGATGGAATTTCCTCAGCATTCCCAGCAGCTGCTGTCCGCCCTGCGGTCTCAGCGCCAGCGGGGCTTCCTCTGTGACTGCACCGTCCTGGTGGGCTCATCCCGTTTCCTGGCTCACCGGGCTGTTTTGGCCTCCTGCTCGCCATTCTTCCATATGTTCTACTCAGACTCTCCAGGAGGAAACAGCACCAGCAGCTCTGTCACGCTCGACAGTGACATTGTCACATCAGCTGCATTTGGCTTGCTCTTGGACTTTGTCTATGAAGGAGTGCTGCAGCTTGAAGAGTCACCTCCAGTGGAGGACGTATTGGCAGCTGCAAGCTTTCTACACATGAATGAGGTGGTAAGAGTTTGCAAGAGGCGGCTGCAGAGACGAGGGCCTCTGGCTGAGGCAGACAGCACACGCTCTGAAGAGAGTGCTGGTTCGAGGAAGGAAATAGAGACACGTAGGGAGGATGGGGGTGACCGTGGAGCAGAGCCCATGGTGGCCGTGGCATCAGATCACTCAAATCCAGTCACCATAGCTGCACCACTGTTATCAGCATCCATGGTGGCAGAGAGGCGCCATGTGGAGACTGTGAATTCTGAACAAAGGACTGGTGGGGGGTCATCAGAGGCACGAGTTCAGACTCCTTTGAGCCCCGATCTCGCCGATACCACTCAGCCAGGCATGGATGGCCCTCCTCTGCCCCCAGGTGGAGAGCTGGTGCAAGGCTTCATCACAGGCCAGTCTGCCCCTGCTCCTGGAGGTCACATCAGGATGGGGGCTATGCATCAAGGAGAATGCACAGCACTCTGTAGTCCTTGTAGCACCACTGAGACATGCAGGTAGATAAATTGTTGATTTACAGACAGAAAATAAGGAAAAACATTTAAATTGCAGCACACATTACTTAATTCTGTTCTATAATTATTTAGTGTTGTCTTTAATTCAGTTTCATAATCAGATGTTTTTAAGGGTGTAAGGACACATATATATTAGGGGTGCAACGATACACAAAATTCACGGTTCGGTTCGGTTCGATACTTTGGTGTCAAGGTTTGATATTTTTTCGATACAAAAAAATGTTCATGCTTTTTTAATTTGTCATTTATTAAAATTATAAATTTATATTTTAACTCAAAAGTACAGTTTTTAAATTTAATGTTGCTGAAACAACAAAGGGATAAAATAATAAATCTATCTGATTGAGAAATCACTCATCTTTGGAAAAGAGAGTTTATTACAGAGAAATGGCTCTTTCCAAAATAAAAGCTATACTATAC